GTGAAGAGAATTAGTATCACTCTATCAGGACTGGAATGAAAAATGCCCATTTGTAACGGAGTTAAGGACCCAGGAGATGTGGGCATGGGGCCCAGCGTTGGAAACTCCAATTCCAGCATTGAATTCAAGGCCATATTTGAGTTGCACACTAATAGACCGGTTCTATTCGATTAACAGTTTGACACGTCGTTTCTCTTTAAAACTTGATTTCCATTCCACCGGAATCTGCACGTGCGACGACTGCCTCGGCTGGCGAGAGATCTGAGCCCCACGCCCCATGACTCATTTGGTCTTTGGATAATGATTTATGCTAGATTTTGACACCAACTATTTGCACGTATAAAATATTAAATGGACTTAGAGATCACACGTGATATGAGAATATAAATTGAAATAATGGATGAGAAATAGTATTTAAAGTGTTTCGGATCATAGTTATTAGTATCCTACAATATCCAATACGTATCATACGATACGGTTTGATACAGGTCGCCAAAAATACGTATCAGAGAGTGTATCATAAACATTTCGATACATTGATCATGGTTATCAAATCGCATATCATATCATGTATCGAAAACTTAATTTTTTGAATCGTGTATCGCGTATCGTATCGTAAGATACACCTTTTTAAAAAAAATTAATAAAATAATATTAATTTTTTAAAAATTAATATCATCCCCAAGATTAATTAAAGAATTTTGTGGTATTATTGGCTTTAAATTATGGTATTACATAATCAAAATTAATCACAAAATTAAGAATCTATATTATTTTCTTTTAACCATTCATATCATTTTCAAGATTAATATCAATATCTACATCTCCACTTATATTATTATTATCATGTAAAATGGGCAATATATATTCCTCTTCACTTTCTCCATGCAAAATGGGTAAATTTGGACAAATTTTAGTGAATTGGGTTGGGCAACCCGGTTTCGACGATAAATTTTTTTTGGACCTTTGGCCCAAATTAATAAAGTCATATCGATTTATATCAATATTTTTAAGGATACGAATGGATACATATCATATCGTAGGATACATATCAACGTTTTGAAAGGTTTAGGATACACTCTCTGATACGTATCGTTGGCGACCTGTATCGAATCGTATCGTATGATATGTATCGGGTATCGTAGGATACTAACAACCTTGACATTGATATATATCCTACGATACGATATGTATTCTTAAAAATATCAATACGACTTTATTAATTTGGGTCAAAGACCCAAATAAAATTTCAGGTTGAAATCGAGTCACACAACTCGGTTCACTAAAACCTGCTCAAATTTACTCATTTTGCATGGAGAAAGTGAAGAGAGACGTGTGTTGCCCATTTTGCATGATAATAATAATAATACAAGTGGAGATATAGATATTGACATTAATCTTGGAAATGATATGAATGGTTGAGAGAAAATAATATAGATTCTAATTTTGTGATTAATTTTGATTGTGTAATATCATAATTTAAAGCTAATAATACCACAAAATTCTTTAGTTAATCTTGGGGATGATATTAGTTTTTAGAAAATTTTGATTACTTTATTTATTTTTCGAAAAAGGCGTATCTTACTATACAATACGATACGATACGCGATACACAATTCAAAAAATTCGGTTTTCGATACACGATATGATACACTATTTGACAACCATGGATGCTCAAAAGTGAATCCTATGTCCACTGCTACTGTATTAATAAAAGGGTAAAATCAGGTCGCGTGCAACGAGCTAAGTTACAGTTTAGAGAGAATACAAAGAGAGAGAGAGAGAGAGAGAGTAAGCTATTTTTTGAGTAAGATTAGTCAATCCCGCAAATGAGAGAGAATATCTCTATTTATAGTGGGAGAGTTTCAGGGTAATGATTACAAATCTGTAAGTGGGTAGGTGCTGTGCAAATCCTTCTTTGCATCCCATTGGTTATCTGCCCAAGAGATTTCCTCAACTTGCGTAGGGTTTGGACACGTGGGCGATCTCTAACCGCTTACAAGCATGACACTCACCTACTGCATTGACAGGAACCATTTCCCATGCGTCAGATGCGATGTGGCACAAAATCTTCTTGAGCCCTGATTGGCTCTTGCTGACAGGCTCCACGTCAGCTCGAACTTTTCAGGCATAACAACATTAATCATCTTCTGCCCTCTTGTAATAGTGTAGGGCTTATGTTCTGTTGAAACTTGTTGTGTGTTCTCATTCTTCAAAACAAAATAACTAAAGATTTCCAAATGCAATGTTTTCATATTTTTGTAAGATTAAATAACTTAACCGTTGCTCCATTGTGATCCCTGACGTGGAATCTTAGTCAGGATATGAAAGCAAAAGAAAAAAAAATTCAAAATTCATGTCATTTTAATGAAAAAGATTGAACTTATTATACTAAACTTATGGACTTAGTATTGCAGGTAAAAGTTTTTATCTGACATTTCTTCTTACTCCTAATATCACCTCACCTTACCATATTACAAAATCTAGATTCTGTCATACCCTTATTGAGGATATAATTCAGTAATGGATTCTTCATTCACAGAGCATGTGGTTGACTTGTTTGTAGTTTGATCAAAGCCAAATTCCTTTGGCATGCTCACCTTCTTTCTACTGCCAAGGTAAAACGCCGGCTGTTTGAGGTGATGGAAGAATCACAGAGTAAGTATTAAGCGTGATATCTATTGTTGCCATTGTTGGTCTCTCCATTGGATCTTAAACAATTTAGAGTAATATGGAATCAAACAAGTAAACACACATAAATATCAAACTAGTAAAGAAAAAGAAAAATACACGCGATTTATCCTGATTCACCGAATTAACATGCTACCTCCAACAGAGTTAATATTATTGAAATATTGTCTTACCCCTCTCGTTACAATGAATATATGTATTTGTCCTCTATGATTTACTATCACACTCATACAAGAGAAAAATAAATTTATATACCAGGTTTGAAGAATAAAACATAATATTACTAGAATCTTTTATCCTAAGCTCAAACCCAATTAAGAATTTAATTACTTAGAGAAATTTTATAACGGCTCTTCATGGAATAGGCTCAAACCGCCTACAGATTAGGGGGCGTTGCCCCATCAACCCCTGCTGCTCATTGAGGACCCTTGATGCATTTACGCGACCTTCTATTATTGAAGTAGTCAACAACTCCAACACCGGACACATAACAACCCCACATGGATGCATCTTGTAGACGTAAAAATCTACCTGTACGGAAAGGAGGGTCTGATCCCGTGAGGTTGAGGCCACTAGCGATCTGCTGTACCTGCACACGTAGAGAAACACATGCATGAAGCGAACGGGAAACACCAGGGTGGTGTTTGCCGTAGGCACTCCGACGCTCAAGTCAGCAAGGCTGAAAGGCTTAATATAGTGAGGGCTAGGGAATGAGAAATTACCGGAAGTCTAGTCGGGGACCGTGACTACGGCGAATAAGTGAAACTCTCAAGTAAAGAGTCTCGGGTATGAAGGGGTAATGTTGATGTCCCCTGTGAGAGGGCTGGCCTCTGCTTATATAGTGATTGTCTGGTCTCCCAATCCTGGTAGAAGTAGGAGTCCTAGTGTGACTCTGATGTCAACCTTAGAAGAATCAGGGCCATAACCAGCTGTCTTATCAGCGTCCGGATAGGAAGTTAACTTTGATTAGGAGGATAACTCCGAACAGGAAATTGATCAGGAATGGGAGGTGAGTTCGTGGGTTCTATACTCGCCCATAGACTTGAGAAATGGGCTGGGATTAGGAGACTCGTGCCCACGTGGTTCGGCCCGGCTACACATTATACCGAATGGGCTTAACGCGGTAGGGTCATCAGGATTGGGCTTCGCTGCTTCTTTAGTGTCACGCCTATATTCCTATTTGGGCCAAGGATGATTTTTGGCCCTAACACATCTAATCAGTTCTTCACGAGAATAAGAATTTGACAGAGTTGAATCCAAGAATTGCAATGGTATTCCATCTCTCCAATGTTTCCAAGCCTGCAATAATAATCAAGTACGTAAAGATATCGACTCTTAACAGAGTGAAATAGTAATACAGTATATTTATTTTGCTTACACAGCTCAAGAGATTCTCAGCACCATCTGTTTTTATAGAAAATAAAAAAAGGTTCTTTTTTTTCCTGGTCAAAACTGAAAAATAGTTGTAAGCTATAAAACAACGTGCTAAATGCTTGACATATAAAATTAACATAAATTTCTCTTTTCCTTCTCATGCTTGCAGATAATGATCAAAACGTTTGAATTTTTCACGTAATAAATCCATATGTTTATTTATAATTTAAATCCATAATTTTTCATCACTGTGTCAAATAGTCTCGCCATTATCATAATTAGTTGGTGAGATTGTCCTTTTCTAAATTATATATGTAAGATAATAAAGATCATCTAATAAAATAAGAGTAAACGACTTTTTCCCACCCAATGGTTGTTTTAATGGCACATTCTCACCCAAAAAGTTTCAAAACACCATTTTTTTTATCCAAAATTTATATTTTATTAATACCTAAAATACATTTAACTCTCTCAATTGACATTCTACGAGTTATCATAAACCAAGGTAAGAGGGGGTTTTGTAGAGTGGAGGCCTGTGGATCGAATGGTGGTGATCGATTGAATATTCACCATTTGAATCATCTAAGACAAGGAAACCCTACCTTTGCAATGGCCGAAAATCGGTAAAAAATCAGATGTTGGAGTGAGAGGAGTATTGTATATAAGAGATCGAATGGTCAAATGGTCATGGTGGAGAGAATTTTTGTGGCCGGAATCGGCTTTGGGTTATAACGAATTTTTAACTTTGGATGAGAGAGTAGTATTTTGAAACTTTTTGGGTAGAAATGTGCAATTAAGGCAAACCTTGAGTGGGGAAAAGTCGTTTATTCAAAAAAATAATGTTATATATTCTTGTACATGTGCTAAATTTTTTATTTCATTCCACCGTCAATTACATTTTATCATTCATCCCGCCAACTATTATTTTAAATCACTCTTTTACCATCGCATATACATTATAACCTCAAAAAAGTGAGACAAATTTTACCATCTCCTAAATGTATTTCTCACTTATCAGAGCTCTTCCTCCAACTTTTGTAGTTTGCAATTCTGCAATGGAGTGGTGAAGACATCGATTACAATCAAAACTGGAAAGGTCCTGCGTGCACTGGACTAGAGAGTACAGTGATTACGAGGCTGTGAAATTTCCCCTTTGATGCCATCAACTTGTCGGGAGAATTTGCAGCCTGCGTTGCACTTTCGTTCATCGTACTCTTCGCCGGCTTGTCAAACCGGACTGCTTCTGTAGCGTTCCTTGTATTAAACATCGAAACGTTGTAATCATCGTTCACGGTACAAAAGAAAGGCTGAAGTGAACAAAAGATTGCTGCCGCTATTGGAGAGGAAAAGTTTGACGTTGGACTGATAGATATCGGTCGAGGTGGGCAAAACACGACAACGTTCAAACTGATAAGAAATCATAGAAGATAGACAAACGGAAAGAATTCAAGGAAAGGCATTTTGATTCTTTTGTAACAGGGAACTATGGAAATCTTCTGCACTTTTATCATGCATCTTAGATCTTTTCTTTTTTATTGTTTGTTAGCGTACATGCGAGTTAACCATATTATACAAAATCTTGATTCTTGAAGCACAAGCTCAGCAGTCATCCCCCATTATCGAGGATATAATTCAGTAATGGATTCTTCATACACAGAGCAGGGCTTGTTTGGTGGCATGGTCACCTCCCTTCTAGTGCCGAGGTAAAACGCCGGCTGCTGAGGTGATGGAAGAGTAACAGAGTAACTATTAAGCATGAGATCGATTGTTGCCATTGTTGGTCTCTCAGTTGGATCTTCCTGGACACATAACAACCCCACATGGACGCATCTGATCACTTCGTCTCTTGAATAAGAATTTGACAGAGTAGAATCCAACAATTGCAAAGGTGTTCCATCTCTCCAGTGTTTCCAAGCCTGCAATAATGAATCAAGTATGTAAAGATACTGACTCTCAACAAAGGGAAAAAGTAAATAGAATATCTTTCTTTTTGCTTACGTAGCTCATGAGATTCTCAGCACCATCTGTTTGATAGAATTTGTTGCTCTTCTTGCCAGTAATGATCTCTAAAACTAGAACTCCGAAGCTATACACATCGGATTTCACTGAACACTGCCCATGTATAGCATATTCTGGTGAAATGTAACCACTGTAAAGTAGACACAATGCAACTTTGTATTCTCAAATTTTAATTAGAAATGTGTAAATACTTATCAACAGTCAGGATGCCGTATAAATCCAGAATATGCAGAGCAAGTTGCGGGAGTGAAAACTTACTATGTCCCAACCACTTTGTTTGTATGTACTTGGGATGAATCAACTCCAACTATTTTCGCCAAGCCGAAATCGGAAATTTTGGAGTTCATATTCTCGTCTAACAATACATTGCTAGCTTTGAGATCACGATGAATAATTTTAAGCTGAGAATCCTCGTGAAGATAATACAACCCTCGAACAATGCCTCTAATTATCTTGTAGCGTGTTGACCAATCCAATTGTCCTTGCTTTTTAGGATCTGCATATATCAAAATAAAGTTTACAAATTGATTTCTAAGGACCAGATTCAAATGTGTACTGAATGATCAACTCCATAGGCATGCATCTAGGGAGGACAAATAAAATAAAATAAAAATACACCAAGTCTAATGTGATATCATTCAGACCATATAAAAAATAGTCAAGACTTTTGTTGGGAACAAATTCATATATAAGAATCTTTTCTTCTCCCTCCAAGCAAAATCCCATCAGCCTAACCAAATTTCTGTGTTGGAGCTTGGCTACCAATACGATTTCATTCTTGAATTCTGCAGAACCTTGGCAGGATCTTCTCGAAAGCCTCTTTACGGCTATGGCTCGTCCATTAGGAAGTATGCCCTGAGAATGTTCATTAATCAATCACTAGATCATGAATTCCTATGAAACTTCTGAGAAAATGCAACACAATATTGTTATACCTTATAAACCTCACCAAATCCACCTTCACCCAGCTTATTATCAGTTGAAAAATTGTTTGTGGCTACTTTAATTGCCCCAAAATCAAATTGCAAGGCCTTTGTAATGTCATTCCCTGATGCACAGAGTGTAAACTATAAGTAATACTATACATTCCACGAATTTAATTAAAAAAGTTGGTGTATAAACTTGAAAAGATTGCAAAAATGGGACATGAAAGATTAATAATATTGTAACTATTTAAAGTAATTTTACCAAAATCATCTTCCTGTATATCACTATTCTTCTTTATTGCTCTCCTACTTATGAGACGATATATCGCAATGGAAAGCACCACAGCGACAGCAATTGAAGCAATGATGGCAATGATTATTGAAGTTGAGATTCGGCTTCTTCCTGCAAGAAACAGGAAAATGTTTCATTAGATATACGAGAAGTTCATTGAGTATTTTGGTAACAGTTTTAATTTCTAATTCAAAGTGCGTCCTAGTTTACCTTCAGGTCTTGTCACAGAAGCATGAGGCGGAGGAGATTGAGGCACTGCTGGAGACGCAGTCACGTTTTGAGTATAAAACGGGTAAAGTTCATACCGGCTATAACAACTCGGATACAGCATTCTTCCTCCTTGCTGCGTCGTCCGCAACTGTGAAATAGATTGTTGAAGACATGTCTTACAGTCAAAACTTGAAAGGTCCTGTGTGCACTGTGCAAGACAGTACAGTGATTGGGAGGATGTGAAATTTCCCCTTTTCGTCATGAACCTTTTCGGAGAATTTGCAGCCCGAGTTACCGTCTCGTTCATCATTCTCTTCACCAGCTCACTAAACCGGACTGCTTCTGAAACGCTGTCTACATTAGTCATCATAACACCCCCGTCATCATCCACTGTAGAGAAGAAAGGCCCATTTGAATAACGTAAAAGGCACTCTTCATAGCCTATTATTGCTCCTTTCTGAACAGGGCAATGTCTAGTTACATCCAAAGTGGCAAAATTGATACAATCTTGGCAGGTTGTGGAATTGAGATCACCCCGGCAAAGAAAGAGGCCGTAGACCTTGTTGGGGTCGTCGCCTGCGGTGGCCTTGAAGAAACCGTTACGATTGACATGGGAAGAAAGCGAAGTGAACAAAAGATTCCGGTTGGTTTGATAAGTGTTGTTCCTAGTGAAAGTAGAAGTGTTTGGGCAAATGTGATAAAGGTAAAATGGATCGGTTGCATTTATCAAATTGATCAGAGAGCACAGAAGACAGACAAACTGAAAAAAAACAAAGAATTTACTGCAAGGCATGTTCATTCTTTTGTAGCAGAGAACTCTGGAATTTTTCTAGAAATCAATTATCATGAAGCTAGTATATAGTTATAACGTATTTTATGAGATTTATAATGAGAACATAAATGGAGAAGATGACTAATTAGGAAAGACTCATTTGTTATAGAAGTCAATAAAAGTGGAAAAGTGGCCCGACCCAGCCCGACCCACGGTGGGCCAGGCCAAACCCAGCCCGCCAACAAGTTTGGGTCAGGTTAGGCCCGTCACTTTTTTAAAAGGGCATAGCAGGTCCCATTAACCCTAGCCTGGCGGGTTTTTGTGCAAGCCAGGCCACCAAAAAAATTATTTTTTAATATTTTTGTCTTTTCTGTAATTTGCTTTAGTTAACTTTTCAAATATCAATTCAATTCAATTGTTATTTTTTAGTTAACATTTCAAATACTAATTCAATTTTAATACAATTAAATTGTAATATAAGAAAAATTAGATTTATTCATTTATCAAAAAATAAAATAAGAAATAAGAAATTACAATAATTATTGTCTCATTAAAAACCTTACCAATTTGGTGGCACAACCTGGTCCAAATGATCCAACATTTGGTTCATCATTTGGAGAGCATTATCAAACTTTTTTAGGTAACCGATCAAAGCAGGATCTGCCTGGGAAGTCGAGGGAATGCTTTTCTTTGTAACAGTTTGGGAAGGAGTTACTACTTTGGGTGGAACAGTCTCCTAATTGTAGGGAATTTCCTCGTTATTGGTGCTAAAGCGCTCGACTTCAAAACCACGAGCCATGAGTTTTGTGGTTAGCCTTTGAAGGTGAAACTGACTGATCAGTTGAGAATACCGGATAGAGAGCTGATGTGAATCTATGCCCCCCTTCTAGTAGGGCTGGAAAAAAAAAACCAAAAATCGAACAGAATCGAAAAACCAGACCAAAACCGAACCGAAAAATCGGTTTTTCAAATTAATCAGTTCGATTTCGGTTTTTAAAAATAATTAAACCGAATTTTCAGTTCGGTTAACGGTTTAAGGATAATATTAAACCGGTTAACCGAAACCGGTTTTTAAAAATCCCATATTTTTTCCCCCTTTTTCCTGGTATTGGCTACGCAGACCTATAGTCTGCTACTCTGCTCCTCTACGCATTTTCTTGGGTTTGGTTCTCAACGCAAATACTTTTTTTTCTTTCACTTTTTTCTCTTTTTCTTCTTCTTTCTCCTTTCACTGATTTCTCTTTCTTTTTTCAGTTTTTCTACACATTTTCGTCTTCTTCTCTTCCTCTCCTTCACCAACTTTTTTATCTTTCACTATTTTCTCTTTCTTCGTCTTCTTTCTCTTTCTTTTTTCAGTTTTTCTTCATATTTTTGTCTTCTTCTCTTCCTCTCCTTCACCAATTTCTCTTTCTTTTTCGTCTTCTTCTCTTCGTCTCCTTCTCCACTTTTCTGTTTCTTTTTCGTCTTCTTCTCCTTTCACTTTTATGTTTTTTTTTTTCTTTTTCGTCTTCTCCATTTCTTCTCTTTCACTGCTTTTCTGATTAGATTTGGATAATAAGCGAGAAGAGAACACCACTTCAGCCTTCTTCTTCTTCATCATTTGGTAAAGCATAATTTTAATTCAAGTAAAAAAAAAAAAAAATTGGAAAAAAAATGGGCCGAAAAAAGCAGCCCATAATTCATAATTGGGCTAAAAAATGCAGCCCAATATATAACCGGTCAGCCGAACCGAATTTTTAGTTCGGTTAATAACTGGTTTTTAACCGAAACTGGTTAGGTTTCGGTTCAATTATTTTTTTGAATTGAAAACTGATTCGGTTCAAGTTTTCGGTTAACCGGTTTTTTCCACCCCTACCTTCTAGCGTCAAACTGTTGATACGTGATTTTGACATCAATGATCTCGCATGTGCAAAGTGCATAGAAGGTCTTAAAAGTTACACGTGATTAATTATGAGAATTGATTAGAAGATGCTATTATCACAATAACATGCAAAGACTTAAAGTAAATACGGCGATGAGAATTTTATAGTGGTTCGAATGCTTAAAGCGAATCCTACATCAATTGTTTTATTTTATTTGAGTGTTAATGATGATTAACCAAGTTTACAATAGGTCATGAATTGCGAACTGAATTACAAGTGCTTGGTATTCTGAGAGAATATTAAGCCAGTCTATTTCTCGTGGGATGTCTTTGCTATTTTATTTATTGAATTCAGAATGTCTGATCCCAATTTTGTGAGGGAGAGCTGCCTATTTATACATGTTAAGTTCAAGGTGATGATTACAAGTCTGCAAGTGGGTAGGTGCCATGCAAATCCTTCCTTGCGTCCCATTAGTTGATAACTTAGGAAATATTATTAAATTAAATGGAGCTTAGAAAGGTGTGTGAACCAAATTCATTCATAGACAAAACTTAAGCTAGCTAGGTTGTTGACAACTATATGCTTTTTGTCTTGGGTCGACGTGGTAGACTCTGGACGACGCAAAGCCTTCTTGAACTTTGATTGGTGCTCACTGACATAAGCTTACGTCAGCCTTGATTTTTTAGGCATAACAACTAGGGGTGTTCAAAAGCGGTTGACCGAACCGGTTAACCACTTTCTTGAACCAAACTGGTTTTTTGGTTTAGGAAAATTCCTAAACTAAAATCGAACCGGTTTAGAGAAAACTGATTTTGAACCAGTTCCTTAAATTGGATTAAACTTTTTTTTTTAATTTTTCCTAAATTAAATTGTAAACCTCAACAATACATAACCAAATAAAAATTAAACATTCATAAATATCCACTGACCACAACTAACAATATTGTTGATACAGAAATATGCACCAAACAAAGAATTCTGATTGACCTTGCCGGAATCGGAATGGATTTGCGCATGATTTAATGAAAATAAGCAATGAACAAAAAGGAAAGAGTCATAAATAAGAACACAAGACAATTTTTAAAGTGGTTCGGCAAGTTAGAACTTGAGCCTATGTCCATTGTTTCTCTTATTGAATGAGAATTACAAATGATGAATCTTTTCCTAGAACAATTGCCTAGCCCCCGAAAACAAGTTCTGATGGGTTTATATAGCACTCATTTACATGATAGAGTTGAGGTAAGATTCAAATACGTAGGATTAGAAAGTTGCACGATCTTCAGTTATCTTAGTTGGAATCTAAGTCAATCTGAATATCTTTCTTTCAAATTGAGTCAATCTAAATATATTCTCTCCTAATAAGGAATTATCCTCTTTGGATTTCTCGCACAACAATAGCCCCCCAGTTTTTGGAGTGCGTAATCGTGCTTCAAAAACTCATGTTTTTTATCTAGATGGTTGTCACACTATAAGCTACAGTCTCGAACTGAAGAGCTTGAATCATGCCTAGCACAATCTAAGAGATCTGAGAGATCTTGAACACGTGATCTCAAGCGAATGAGCGAGCTTATGAGCTCAATCAGAGAGCATAAAGAGCTCGATTTGAGAGCGCAAGGAGTTCGATTGGAAGGCTCGGAGAGCTTGATCTGAAAGCATAGCTTGATCAGAAAGCACGGAGAGCTTCATCTGAGAGCATAGCTTGATCAGAAAGCATAGAGAGCTTTATCTGAGAGCATAGCTTGATCAGAAAGCATATAGAGCTTCATCTGAGAGCATAGCTTGATCAGAAAGCATGAAGAGCTTCATCTGAGAGCATAGCTCAATCAGAAAACATGAAGAGCTTGATCTAAGAGCATTGGGTTATCGATCTGAGCATTCAAAATCACAATTTGTATGCTCAGCAACACGATCTGGCCACTCGAAAGCACGATCTGAATGATCTTGAAAGCGTGATCTCAATGATCTTGAACGAGTGATCTCAATGATCTTAAATGCGTGATCTCAACGATCTTCAACGCATGACCTCAATGACTTTGAACACGTGATCTCAACGATTTTGAATTCATGATCTGGGCGCTAGATAGCTTGAGAGCTTGATAGCTTGGGAGCTTGAGAGCTAGAAAGCTAGCTTGAGAGTTCGATAGCTTGGGAACTAGAGAGCTTGAGAGCTAGAGAGCTAGCTTGAGAGCTCGATAGCTTGGGAGCTCAAGACCTAGAGAGCTAGAGAGCTAGCAAGCTCTTTCTAATATGAGAGATCTAAGTGTGCGATCTAAGCGATCTAGCCATGCGATCTAAGAACTCTGATTTGAAACAGACTTTAGTATTTTGATGATAACTTGAGCTATAGACCTTGGATTTGGATGATTCCTAGACTGTCAGAAAGCTAACTCGAAGGGCTACAATTCTTGTGTTTATCACTTAGCCAGATTTAGAATTTATCCTACTTAGATTTTCACATTTGATAGCATGATTCTAGAAAAAGAAGTTGGGATTTGTTGAAGAAGTTTAGACTTGCTAGAAAAATATAGAGAGCTGATGTGAATCAGACCCTCCTTCTAGTGTCAAAATGTTGATACAGAAATCTGCATCAAGTAGATAATTCTGATTGACCCTGCTAGAACTGGAATGGATGTGCACGTGATTTAATGAAAATCAGCAATAAACAAAAAAGAAAGAGTCATAAATAGAAACACAAGATAATTTTTAAAGTGGTTCGGCAAGTTAGAACTTGAGCCTATGTCCACTGTTTTTGTTATTGAATGAGAATTACAAATTATGAATATTTTCCTAGAACAATTGCCTAGCCCCTGAAAACAAGTGTTGACGGGTTTATATAGCACCCATTTACATAACAGAGTTGAGGTAAAATTCAAATATGTAGGATTAGGAAGTTGCACAATCTTTGGCTACCTTAGTTTGAATCTAAGTCAATATGAATATTTTTCTTCCAAATCGAGCCAATTTAAATATCTTCTCTCCTAATAAGGAATTATTCTCTCCGAATTTTCTGCACAACAAATACATTTAAAATTGATACAAATAAATTTAATTTTTATTTTATTTTAATGTATAATATCTATTAAGATTATTTTTTTATTTTAATTTAATATAATATGTATATATATTAGTAAAACCGGTTTCAATTAATCGGTTTGTATTTTCACCCAAACTAGAAATCAAACCTAAAATCCAGTTTTTTTGAATTCTTTGAACCATAACCGAACCAGTTTTTACTGGTTCGGTTCAGTTTTTGT